CTCTCTCTCTCTCTCTCTCTACCTCCCCCTCTCTCTCTGCCACCCCCTCCCCACCTCAATTCCAGATGAAATCCTGGCCCAGTTCCCTCCGGGAAAAGCAGCTGAGAGCCGGGAAGGGGCGAGGGATCCGGGCCCGGGCTCCGGCCTCGCTGACGAGGGGACCCCCCAGAAGCCGGTTGCTGGGGAGGTGGAGGAGGAGGTGACCTCGAAGGAGATGGGGAGTGGTCCGCATGGCCTCGTTGGGTGAGTTGGGGAGGACATGGTGAGGCGTGGTTGGGGGGGAACGTCCGAGACACCCTGCTCCAGGCTGCAGCGAATCAGTGACATCAACGTTCACAATGTCAAGTGGGACGGTGGCCATCTTGGAAGGTGGCCATCTTGGAAGGTGACCATCTTGGACGGTGGCCGTCTTGGACGGCGGTCATCTTGGATGGCAACCATCTTGGAAGGTGGCCATCTTGGACAGTGGCCATCTTGGACAGTATTGAAATGAGAGTCCAGGGAGGGGAGGATGGAGTCAGACGGAGGGGACATCATTCAGCCGGAGACAAAACTCACCCCCTTCTCCCTCTCTCTCTCTCTCTCTCTCTCGCGGCAGAGTTTCGACCCCGCGGGAGCAAGCTAAAACCTCAGCGACGTCAGCAACGCTGGAGTTGGATAAACTCATGGAGTCCCTGTCCGATTTCCAACTGCACAGCCAAGTGAGTGCAAAACCCCTCCTCCCTCCCCCATCCTCGTCCGGAGGTTGGGGTGGGGGGCGCAACTGACAGACAGCTCAGGGGATTGAACCCCACACCCCCCCTCACATCGCTACCAATCCCATCATGGGGAACGGGAAAGAGCAAGGATAGCCATCACTGGGGTATCTAATACACCGTGACACCCCCAGTCCCAGAGGGAGGGGGAAGGACAGTGTATCTAACACAGCGTGACCCCCCCCCAGCCCCAGAGGGAGGGGGAAGGACAGTGTATCTGACGCACCGTGACCCCCCTGTCCCGGGGAGGGGGGGAAGGACAGTGTATCTAACACACCGTGACCCTGAAATTCGGTCAGAGGTATGGGTTTACGGCAGGGAGGATATGGGTGTCGGGGCTACAGCGGTGGTGGATATGGAGGTGGGGGTTGGTGGGTCAAGGATGTGTGGGCAGAGATGGAGGATGTGTGGGTTTGTGGGTATGGGTGTGGGAAATGGGAGTTTCTGATATAGAGGTCGGGGGGAAATGGGTGTGGGGAATGGAGGATATATGGTTGGGGTTATGGTTACGTGAAATATGGGAGTGGGGGATATGTGTGTATGACATATGGAAGTGGGGGATATGGGTGTGTGATATGCAAGTGAGAGATACGGGGTTCAGAGATACGGGGGTGGGGAATACGGGGATGTGAGATATGGGTGTGTGGGTTATGGGTGTGTAGGATATGGGAGTGTGAGGGCGGCACGTTGGCTCAGTGGTTGGCACCGCTGCCTCACAGCGCCAGGGACCTGGGTTCGATTCCCCACCCTCGGGTGACTGTCTGTGTGGGAGTTTGCACATTCTCCCCGTGTCTGCGTGGGTTTCCTCCCACAGTCCAAAGGTGAGCGGGTTAGGGTGGATTGGCCAATGGGATATTGTCCCGTAATGTTCAAGGGATGCCTAGATTAGGAGGGTTTAAAGGGGGATGGGTCTGGGTGGGATGCTCTGAGGGTCGGTGTGGACTTGTTGGGCCGAAGGGCCTGTTTCCACACTGTAGGGATTCTGTAATTCTCTGATATGGGAGTGGGGGATATGGGTGTGTGTGAGATATGGGAGTGGGGGATATGGTAGTGTGTGAGATATGGGAGTGGGGGATATGGGAGTGGGGG